TACACCCATACAAGCCATACTAGTCGTCCCTCAACATTCATAAATTATTGTTAGGTATTTTATCATGTTTGACTGAATCAATGAATGATAGTTGTATAATCTGGACTATTAACATGCTCCCATGTATTCAATTTATGTAAACCAAATCCATCAATTTCATTTTATCTGCCACGTGTACCAAAATTCCGTGAACCCTTAAAAATATCGGCGAGCATATTAATAACTTGTTACATATTTATTACAATAAATCCCATCAATTCAAAAACGAAAACATATTAAAATTATTCATAACTTTTAAAAAATTAGTTATGGACATTTGTTCACACTAAGAATATGGAAGACGAAATGGCTTTTTATTGAATATTCTTAATTGCTATTTCTTAATTTTAAATTCTTTTCTCTTAATTTGCAAGTTACAATCAGTATTTGGCATTGAAAATTGACATTTGTACAGGAAAATAAAATTTTGTACTTAAATTCTACGTTTTGGATTATCAATTTTACAATTAATAACATCCTTGTCAAAAATATCGTCAAATACAAATCTGCATGCATAAATCCGGTCTAGCAAATTTATCGTTTTTACTGAACTGGTCGAATGGTTTGTGCTGTCGATGGATTCACTAAGTTTTGGAATGGCTGACATTGTAAATAAATCCATTGAGTATAAATTGGATAAACTTATCAGAATTTGGCTAATGACTCACATCATATATGACAATAGGTCATTGCTTAATATTTTTTCTAAGTATTTTGTGATAGGTCTTCTACATTGTTGGGGTTGGGGCCAGGGCTCTGATCTGAAGCCGAAACCCACAGTACCATCAGAGCTAATATAGCAAAGTTTCCCAAATCAAGGCAGATCAATGTTCAACTCTGTCACTGGTCATTACTGAGATTTATAGCTGTATAGCCAATTAGTTCCATGGAAGTATAGGATTAGAAAAACATTTAAATCCATGTTATACGCCTCAATATACTAGACTGATATAATTGGAAAATTTACTAGCCCCAAAAATTTATTTTCTTTCACAAACAAACTAACCGAAAAAATGCATTACTCATTATTGTTTGTTAGACAAAAGATTTGTAATTGATCAATTGTATACAAATGTCAATTTTCAATGATATGTGCTGAATTAAGCATAAAAATTAAGAGATAAGAATTTAAAATTAAGAATTTAGAAATAGATAAAAAGGTATTCTGCCTTCCATACCAGAAATCCTGTGGTAATTAATTATATTTAATATCGATTTACCATGCAATGAACGATATATTAAGGGACTAGGGAGAACTGAAATCCCAGAATGATGGCATGCAACGATTTTATGACACGGAATAATTATATAAAGACTATCGGGTACTATACAGCATATTTTTTTCATTTTTCATATAAGGAAAATGTACCAAAAACAGATTTTTTGTTCATTTTAAGATAAAAAACAAAACAAAAAATGGGAAATTGAAGGAAGTTTCCACAGTGTACAACAAATAAATTTGATATTTCACAAATTTTATATCAGCTTCTATGATATCGATTAATTTCAGCTGGTTCCACCGATCTTATAATCCTGGTGTAACTGTTATGCTAAGAGAAGACTGGGTTAAAGGACAAGGCGCCGAAATTGTAACGAAAGTCATTGAAAATCGATTGAAAAGATATCAAATTATGACCAGACGAAATTCTTATAAGACATATCTGACCAAGTTTAGAGTGCCCTGACGCTCCAGGTCACAAATGCGGAAAGGAGTAAGGTTATAACAACTTTTAAACATTCCATATCATAATAAATCTAAAATTTCCAGACTTTATGGATATACTTAATTTCCTTACGAACACAAAAACGATTCAAAAAGATGTGATAATTTGAGCATCATTTTACTTGATAACGTTACCTGCATGTGTTTCGAAACGTAGTATGTAATAAACCTAGAAGTAGTATATCCATATAACTTGTGTTCTTAATGTTTACCTGCCTGCTTCTATATGTCTTACAAATATTATAATGTGAGCATTGTTTAATTGTTTTCGACTTGCCGTAAAATTACAGAAAACCGGAGTGATAATTTTTCAATTTTTTTTGTTAATTTTCGAAAAGACCTTCCCACGCTTTAGATGTAAAAAAAACAGATAGGATCCATTGTATCGCTCCTCGCTTCCCTTCTGGTTTCCACTCGAAGAAATATTCAGTGGTTTTCTTCGTGAAATTCAGTCTCTTAGTTCGTCACAGTAAAGTGAGTTAGTAGAATGACTGATGAACTAGTCTACTGGTCTGTTAGTAAAATATAAATCATACAGCAAGATGTATCAGACTATTTTATGTGCCATGAAATTGGAACTGTCAACTATCGACAGGTCAGTATTGTGGCATGACAACAAGTATTTGATCAGACTATTGGACAATTAGACTTGTCAGAAATCTCTCGTCAGATGATTACAATGTTGTCTCGTATACTATTAATATTTTACAATATTATAAATAATGTGACACGAAACATTGTGATCGAGACAGCAATTATCGTGGAAGTGATAGTACATAATTCAAATTTAATTGGTGTCTATTTATTTATATAGTCCGAAAGGTGTTTATGTCTATAAACATACACTATCAGATTGAAACAGAGTACGTAAAGAGTCCCTAATATCAATTTGAATGTAATGGATCAGTTGCAAAAACAAAGGTAGAAAGAATAGTAAATTACGATTTTCTTTATATAAAGACATCCTATTTTCTAATAACTATTTTCTGTCATAGTGCATTTTGGAAATTTTATTTTATTTGTTTTATGCTTTTACCTCCATTTTTACTGTTTTGGAAAATAGCGATTATGAGAACTCAATTTTGATTGGATCAATTGAACCAATCAGCGTTAACTACACATATGTCCGACCGGAAGACGAAAATAAAGGTAGCGATATTTTCATTTCTCATTATTGTGATTTTGTTAATTTTGCTATAATGATAATAATCCATATTTTACACGTAACAACCGAAAAAGTACATAAACAAAGTTAACATTTATATTTCTGATCTAAAGTTCGTCGCCATTTGTAAACAAAGACTTCTGTGCATGTCCGTAGTCTCGTAAATTCCTTTCACAGACTCCAAGAAACCATTCACGAGAAAACACCGGCCTCGTATCAATTATAATAGGAAACTTAAAATTTGACGTTTTAAACAATTCTTCAGTGGCCAGGTAAATTTATAGAAACTATATAAAGGTTTAAGATATAGTTACACGCCTAATTAGCGTAATTCTTCACGTTGAAAATAAACCGGTCTAGACCTTTAAGTTCAAATGACCAAATCCCATAGCCTTAAACCATAGCGTTTCATAAACATCCTCTGTGCAATTGGTTTGAAAATCATCTTGGGCTTGTAGATGCAATTGGGGAGATTTCCTTTAAAATCCGTATGAAACATCGATTAGCCGAATGTGGAGTTTTGGCGCAAATGTGGGTATAGACAGACAGGCATTGGATAGTCACTTTTTACATCTAAATTTTCTATAATAATGAATGTATACATTGTACGAGGTTAAACGTTAGAGCGTCGTGATTCTATATTGTCATGATTTAGGCTGATCTCCTGATATCGTTACAGTTAATTCTTATTATCAACGTCTTAAACGATCCCAGCGTCATCCATTTAAATGAGAATAACATACTTTTTTAAGAGGGAAATGTCTATTTATTAATCTTTTATTATAGGCTATTACATATAATTTTATGGCTACCATTGCTTTACCAGAATCATTACACTACACTACAGACTGAAGAACTACACTGTACCACTTTTAAATTGTGGCTTTAGCGCCGTAATAGGGGGGCATCCCCCCTAGAAAAATGGTTTGTGCCCCCAAATGTACCCAACTTGCATTTCTACTAAATTTTAAAACGTGAATTTAACCTTCCAGACATTCTATTAGAGGCTTGTGCCAATGGATCCCCACAGAACTGAAGGATTTCGAATTCAACAGTTCTTCCCCCAGTATATCAGTTTGACCCAAATTTGTACCCCTAGTCTCAGACGTCTGACTCTGAGACGCCACAACTGGGCTCTAGTCACCATAAGTTGAAACGGTATATCTTATAACACCATTAATTGTTATCAAATGTTGCTAGTTACCAGTACAAGTATGTACAAAATACTGTTATAATGTTATTGTACAAATCTGACTATCACGTTTTCTCGATCACAGTGAACAATGTGTCCATATTTATTAAGGATGTCAGTGTCGTCATTGATGATATCTTTCATTCTCTTTCACTATGAGAATGTTAGTGTCTTTTTGTATCATAGGTCTTCTTTACAGTTCTGAAGGAAGAACTGGGCAATCAGGGTGTGGGAATTCTGGGCTCCTCCGATAACCAAATTAACATTAACACCATTTCGATATATTTAATAAGTCGCTCGAATAGCTTTAAGTTTGGTTGACAGAAGTAGTATAATTTTCATGGAATAATTTCAATTGAAAATAGGTTCCACTATGACAGCATATACTCCAAGATGATGAGTACTATCGAGTTCGGAATTGATAAGACTTAATAAGTGTCTGCTTGACCTGGTTCCTAACATTAATAACTAGAGTTCCGAGGGTTTGGAATTGGTCATCTTTACCTCGTTAATAACTCTACTAAAGATTTCAAAAGGACTGGAAACTATCTTAATAACACTTCAAATACTGTCTAACGGGTTGTACAATTTAAATTCCCCAAGGAACAGAAGTCTTCATGACTTGGTGTCACTTTAGACCATCAACATGGCAGTTATCAAATAGAATATTTAATATTGGGAATATGAATGTTGATTACTGTAAATGTTATAAATATTTGGGAGTATGGTTAGACGAACATTTAACTTTTAAACTATGTATTAACGAATTAGCTAAGTCTGCTAGTAGGGCATTGTCAGCACTTTGTACTAAACACTTCCAGGCGGGTGGATTCCCATATAATATTTTCACCAGACTTTACGAAACGCTAGTACAGCCAATTATGTCATATGGTGCTGGAATATGGGGTATGGTAGAGCATAAAAAATTGAATAGTGTACAAAACAGAGCATGTAAGTTATTTCTGGGCCTGAAACGAAACAGTCCAAACCTGGCAGCTAGGGGCGACATGGGTTGGACTTCATGCCTTACAAAACAAAGAGTTGAAGTATTAAGACTATTTTGTCGTTTGAAATGTTTATCAAACGATAGACTTCCTGTAATGATCAGTAATTGGTCCTCTAGACGTAGCAAATCTTGGGAAAAGAGTGTAGAGGCGATGATAAGAAACCTTAATGTGAGCCATATATGTAATGTTGATAATATTAGTAAGAGTCATATGAACCCCTTAAAACGTCATTTGTTCCAAATTGATGAGTCGAAATGGTTCCAGGATTTATGGAATGATGACAAAAACCCGAATGGTAATAAATTAAGAACATACCGGTTATTTAAAAAGGACCTAAAACCCGAACCATATGCTTTATCACATTTTCTCCCACGCCACTTAAGGAAAGCCACGGCTCTATTACGAAGTGGAAGTTCTGACCTTATAATGATTGAAAAATTGAGATATAGTCATCCTCCTACCCCACTTAATTGTCGAACCTGTCCCTTTTGTTTAGAGATTGAGACAGAAACTCATTTTTTAGTAGAATGTGATATGTATTCAGATATCCATTTTGAACTATTCCAGGAAATGCATAAAACAGATAATAATTTCTATAACCTGTCCCCCAAGGAAAAAATTATCATGATCTTATCAAGTGATCTAGTCAACCCCAAAACTATAAGCAGTTATATATACGAGATGTTCTCTAGGAGAAATTATTATATGTCATATAATTATAGAACTTAATACTAAATTATACTGCCTCATAAGATTTTATTTTTATACTAATTATATTTTCTACTGTTTTTAGATATATTAGATCGTGTCTCATAGACCTATATGGTCGGACGATGATTAATTTATATGTATTTTTTAATGAATTTTATTTTATGTATATTTCATTGTGTGACACGTTAATAAACATTTCTTCTTCTCCTTCTTCTTCTTCTTCTGTCTTCATATGTTCAATGAGTCTATACTATGGTGTGAAACTATCCATATATATATTGAATTTGAATCTTTGAAATACTGAAATAAATCCAATACATAAGTCCTTTCCTTTTGTAAACAAATCAAAGTTGGGTGTCAGACTCATTCAAATTTTGGTTTGTGGTCCATGCCAGAGATTAAGTATATCAAAATGTATGCAAAGTTAGTTATTAAGCTGGCACGGCTTTGCCCCCCACTTTCAAATTTTTTATCATTTTACATAGTGAGAGAAAGACCTATGGCCTCCCCTGGAAAAGGTTCATCTCACTTGATGTTTCCTAGAAACGCCATTGTATTTGATGAAAGGCTATGTTTGAAACTAATTGACTTCTCTGTACTGTTACCTTTTATATAAAAAATCTTGTCATATCACGTCAACTAATTTCATTTTTAATATTAGAAAAAAATATTGGTTTGGAGGCGATCTTGGATAATTTCCCAAGCCTTGATTTAGATTATTGATTACTAAAATGATGCGATTGATAATTAGAGTCAATTTAATACTTGGGCGACATTTCACTTTTTTGACGAAATATTTATGATCAGCGAGTAGGAAACTATAAATTATCAGGAAAAATAAATTGCTTTAAGAACATCATTAGCAGATAATTCACCACAGTTTTGAACAAATTATGTTTCTTAGTGAAAACAGATATAATACTTTAAAGCACTATTTACATTGCTGTTGATGTCTTGTTGAACGACTCTTGAATGACATCGGAAACAATGGCCTGGTACGGTTAATATGTGATCGTAACGTATCATTTTGCAGAAATATGATGGTAACAGAACATAGTAGTAATATGGTAGTAACGCTTCAGATTAACGCCAAATCTTTCAATAATGTGATAATGTGATTTAAAACAAACTGTTGGTGCACAGAAACCGGGAAATTAGATGATATCTTCATCAAGTCTTTAAGTAATTAGTTTCAATATTATAGCTAAGTTAACATTTGAGGAAGGAGATTATTGGGATTTTGTTGTCATGGTCGTTTTTGCTTAAAAAAACATTGTCTCCTAAAGTTTTTTTTATAAACGTCAGTCTTAACATTTCCTTGTAACTTCAAAATCTCTTTCTGTTCTCTTCTTTGGTCGTTGAGTACAATCTTTTTAGCGTATTTCTTTAATCGTCGATACAATTAACTCCACATTCAAAAAGATAAATAAAGAAGATATTTACACAAATATAAATAACACAGATGAAAAATTTAAAAACACTCAAAAAATGTTCTCATGCTCATTTGACATTTATGAATTTTCTTTGAGGTCATTTTTCCAGGCACTGCACATTCAAGTTATGTTTTCCCAATTACAGGAAACTATGTCATAATATTTCACGCACTTCATTACGATCCATTTCACACATTAGTATTTTGACGGAAATGGTTCATCGTACTTATTCCTTTCAAATCATTGTCATTCGAAATAGTGCGAATCTTTTGTTAAAAATAACTCGAATTTGTGAATCTCACTGGAACACTCAAATCAAATTTAGTTTACAACTTTCCTGTTTTTGAAATCTATTTAGCTGAGTGAACTGTACAGAGATCCAGTAAAAAAAGTTAACACTTTTGGATACAATGGAATACCTGATTTTGATAAATTCACCCTTCGAATCCATTTAAACGCCTGATGGTTTATCTGGTTTGAAGAGCCCACTACTATACAATTATTGCTTCTGATTTTGTGATACTCTATGTATCTATTACCATGTGGGCGTTTGAAAATAAATACTTACCTATTCGCAAACTTGGTAACTTTTCAGTTCATAAGAACAATGTTTTTTTTCTCCTTTTCCGCTCAACAAGGAACAGTTGTAATGAGAGTTGTGTAATATATTTCTAAAACTACGGCAATAATTTCTGCAAGGTTAATCTTCTATAAAGGTACAATATTTAATGAACCATCATAACGGCGTTTTTATTGTCCTCATAAAGTATAAAGCTTTATGTTCAATAGTTATTTTTGGAAAAGATTAAGGATGTGAAAAGAATTTAATAACAAAGGACAAATTAGGTTAAAAAACTGTGCCATCTATATTCTGAAATGTGTGTAATCTGCGTTCACCCTTTTCATAATCTACTCTTGCATTATATGTTGGAGTTTTATCTTGGTATAGAATTTAAAAAGTTGCTCGTTGAAAATGATGTGTCTTAAAAAGCGTTTAATAGTTAAATATGGCAACAAATCGAGTTCTACCGACTGAAGAAAACAACGACAGGTAAAAATTCAAAAAGAACATAGTAATTTGTGGCACAATTCCCTTAAAATAAACGCAAATGAACTAGAAAGAAACAGAGCAAGAAGATGTAGCCTGTGTTGTGTTTTCAATCAGGCATTTTTACATATTACAGACAAGTAGACATCATTAAACAATTTTAAACTTAATCAATTATCCTTTGACACTTAAATATAGACAGATTGTTTATTGTGATAAGACTACATGTAAATTAATTGTGATGAAAAACAGAAAAAGGTAGTAATAGTGTTAAAAACCAGACTCTTTATTCCTTTTAATTATATTGGTGGAAGATAAGGGGGGGGGGGGGGGGGGAGAGTTAGTTTTACGGACGACAACTCTCTTTCCAAGATGTTGTTGTTGTGTATTTTTTATTCCGAATACTAATATTTCCATTAACAAAACTGAAAAGGGACACCTGTCGACGGTTGAACCATCAGAATCAGGAAACTATTGAACGCTCAATGTCAGGCGACATTTTGGAGAATCTGTCCAATCTCAGGATATGGACTCACTCCACTAATTCATTTGCCATCTCTTCCCATGTAAAAACACGAAATTCAACCTCCTACAACTTTTTCCAGAATCTCGTTGAAAGCTTTCCAATATGTCAAATGAAAACCTGACCAATCCTAAAAAATTCAATATATGATGACCATGAAAATTTGGAGCTACTAAAATTGAAAGTAGACTACTACCGGTTATACTCATATGCTAGAGTTTGGCAGTTCACATAACTACTAATTTTAGAATTAGCCTTCCGCCTTTAGGTCTCTCATCATCTCACCAAATCTTAAAGATAATTCAATTTCAGACAACAAATTCCAAATCTAAACCAAAAATTAATCAAATATAGGCATGCAAAAACCCCAAAAGGGAGAGAGTAAGAAGATTTCTAAAAATAGCCTGGACTACATTCGTATTTGCATAAAATGTTTTAGTGGAGTGAGTCCTATATAGTCGACCTTCGCGCATCAACGACTACTCTCCTTTTCCCGGATTTGAGCGGTCGAAATCTTCCAGTTGATCTCAGTTGCTAGCAGACGATCTATTTCACATGCAAATGCATGTGTAGACGCTATATCCCTTTAAAGTAATTATACGACCCCAGAAACGATTCTGATTGTGTTTTACAGATGACTTTTGGTCGAGAAAATGATAGTTGAAAGAGTTTTTTTTTAGAAGCCCAATAAGTCTTTATTAAGGATTCGTTTTAATACCATATTCTTCAGACTATTATAATGAATATTAGAAGACTGTAATATTACAAGTTTATTAATGAACCTAGTCTGATAGTTATTGACATCATAAAAACAGTCTATCTAATCTGATCACTAGATAATTAAACCTTATATCTTTTAATACTTTTAAATATTCTTTATGTCTGTGGACCTTTTGTTTTCATTTGACATGTAGACGTACGGTCGTCCTCAACTATGTTATATTCTGACTCGTGTCCGCTGTCAAGTAATGTACTTCATTGGAGATTCTATTTGGCAGGCTCAAGTTAATTTCAAGTAATGTCTATTAACAGAGAAGATGTTAGATGAGATAAGATACGCCGACAAAGAAACGTTGTACATGTATGTGATACAACCAAATAAACGTCTGAAATATGTTCCCAGAGTGTAGTGTATCCATAGAAGACTGGAGTCCTCATAGCCACGAACTTTGTCCAAGGACCAAAAGATCAAACAATTCAAGGAAACCTGTGGTCATCATGTCTCATTATTTTCCATCGATGAGCTCCATGGTTATATGAGTTTTAGTCTGTCTTCCAGACGTGTTATGTGACCGTTTCATAATGTCTAGTGCTGACGTCATTTGACCTTTAATTAAACTCCATTTAGTGGCCATGACCTACCAGATAGATTATGAAGCACAACACATCTGATCCTACCAAATATAGACCTGATACACGGATGAGAATTCGTCACTTCTTCAGGCGCGATAAACCTTTTGGTTTTGACGAATTCAAATCACCTCTGAGAAAGTGGGTAGCGTAAGATTTGTCGGACACCAATTGTTATAAACCTTTGATTCAAGGGTTATGTCTTCAAATTGTGTTCAAACATTAAACTTCTACTTGGTTTCTACTTTTGCATTGTCCCAACTATTATTTTGGAATTACGATTTCTTTAATGGCACATATTGCTATTACTTTTTTTGTTTATGCGAGACTGAATTTGTGAACGGCCGAAAGACAAAACCATAATTTATTTGGATTAGAATCCGTTATAGTGACTAATCTCATTGGGATAGTTCCAAATCTCTAGACAATGAAATTTGGATACCATTTGATTTGCAATTGTCTAATTATTACTGTAATTATTCCTGAATATACAGAAATGGTATATATAAAATGATGTATTCTATGATAATTTGACAGCGATTGGCCAAAATTGACCTTACTTGCGATAAATCATATACCATTGGGAATCACTGTACTTATTATGTATAAATTACGCAGCCCACGGGCATCTGATTCAGATCAAAAGTGAATAATTGTTAGGGCGGCCTGTGATTTGATTTATTTAAAGAGATGAAGATTAATGGCGCTTCAAATAAATTTGATTAAGAAGAATTTTGTTTACGACGATAAATGGAATCAGAATTCTCCTTTTTGCCTCTTGTGATTTGTCTGTTATTATTGTTTATTGGGTGTTTGGTTTACATCGGAAACATTTATTCTGTTTCCAGCACAGTGCTTCTTTCTTTCTGTCGACAACGTGTACAATGAATATAATCGGTTGATATCTTGACACCAGTGGACATGATTGGAGCAATGTCTTATTAAATTGTGTGACAGATTACAATATATTAGTTTAGTGGAAAGCTACCCAAAGATAGCATAGTGACAAAAGGGGTACGCAGAGTACTTAACGTTATGGCGACGTAGGCCTATATAGTTGTGATATTTGATACTCCTCTCACCATTTAGAAATAAAAGAATTTTCCTCGAAAGAAGCTGGAATTATTTTTCACTTGACACTGTTATAGTCATAATTGACCATCGTTATCAGGGTCTGCCCTCTCTGGAAACATACAAGGAAAAGAAATTTAAAAACTTGGATTTCCTAAAAGGAAGTCGATCAGTAAACAGTCTTTTGAAATTGAGTCTGAGAAACGAAATAAACCACTGTCCATCCACGATTTGTCACGAAATACCCCACACTTCAAGAGATAAGTTCCCTCAGCTGTTCTTTCGCATTGACCTTATCGTTATTATCAAAATTAATCATATAAAACATGCCTTAAACCCTGGCTTTCTCACTTTAGACAAGTCAGAGACTATCATGAGAGCTCTTATTGCCTGTGTCCTTTTTGTTGCCGTTGCTGTAAGTTTGATCAAATTCATTCTAAAGTTTGTGAATTCTAGTTTGAAAGACACATTTTCATACGCCGTTGTTTTTTCGTCTCATAGGTTGAACACGTTCAAGGCAACGTTGGCGCTTTCGAATTGTTGCTGGTTGCTTTTTATTTTGATTCAAATGGATTACGATTGAGGGATTTTGACTGTTATATTCAATATTTTTAATTGTTACCCTCAAATATTCTCTGTCTTTGATGTGCAGAATTTCAGAGAAACATTGGTAACTGTATTATCTGGCATAAGCACAAAAATATCTCGTGGTCGTGGCGTAGTCTTGTGTTTTACATGACTTTGCTTCAAAGAAATTAACTAAACCGTTGATTCGTCTCCAGATTTTATTTAAGGGGAGGCAATATCACCATTTGAAATAAACATCAGCCAACAATCATGTTTCTAATGTTTGTAGGGTCAGTTCAGATTCCCATGGTGGAATGGAGTCAAGAGTGACAGACATAATGGTTATACCTTTGAATATCATGCACGACACGTAAGTTTATATTGATTTATTCAGTGTCCTAGAGTAATTTGTACAGAATCATAGTGAAATGTGTCGCAACTATACATATTCACAAAAACCGACATTGCACCTAATTTCATTAAAATTAGTTTACCATGTCGTTCTGCTTCCTGATGTATTTTGTCTCCTTTGTAATCTAACACGATTTGTGGCGCGATCCGGCTCTAATGACACTATTTTTAACTGATCAAAGTGTGTCATTTAGAACCTGTGTCTTGAAGAATTGTATCTTGTCTTTTGCAGAACTTGGTTGTTGTTCGAGATTCCAGAGCTTGCTATCTGATTAAGGCACACAAGAATTTACACTACGATGCTACCCAAAGAAATACTGTTGAAGTGAGTATGCATTATCTTAATAATGTCTAAGGTCTAAATATTTTATTGCATACAATGTATAATCCTACTATACCGATACAATGAAAAACAGGCCACTTAATAATTTAAGCCAGAGCTAAGTAAACGTAGGTCAAATACGGTCAAATTTAGAAATACGATGAATTATTGACGGACCATTGCACTAATTGATACCACGAGCCCCTCATGCAATATTAAAAACCTATAGACACTAAAGTGCGCTTCGACCGTTATATAAAGGAGACGTAATAATCCTCTTGGATTAAGAACCATATCTGCATTATCAAATTGGCACTATGGGGTACACAGTCTTGTTCGTACATTATGCAACAAGTGATCTAAGTCCATATAACTTCAATGCAATTCGACGGTAACTTGATCGACTACCAGCATGCCCATTTTGTGAATTCTCTGTAATAAACAACCAATAACACCTCAGGAGGAGGGAACTAGTCTGCATGTAGCTTTTAAATGTAGATTTTAAATGTTCGAAATGTTTTTGTTTAGGATGATATCATCAAGCACATCAAAGAAAAAGATGGTCTTCACCGAGAAACCCATCTCCATGCCTTGTCTCAATTCCACGATATCTTGGAAGCTGGCGAATGCGCTCGAAAATTCTTGTATGAATTGGACCTTGTTTTACCAACAGCCATGCACGCTGCCACTACCACTGCTGGTACCACCATGGGTAACTAAATTCAGGTTAGTTGATGGTGCTTTCTTATTCTGCTTTCGGCAAATTCAGACCGAAGCGCGGAGTGAAAGCCAACTTATCCGACACTTCCTTTTCAGAAATCCTTTATCCATGTAACTAAAGACCTGAACACCGAGGTCAATCAGTGCTCTCGGTCTGATAGTGCGTGTTCTTATTGTTTTCCGGGAAAGTTCACTCCATTGTAAATAGTTCTGACAAGACCATGCACCATTTCAAACGTGCAAGCTATATTTGACCACTTGACCATATTAAGACCATTACACAGTTATATTTCTTAGCGAACTATACATTTTTCTTTTCTATCTTTCAGAAAAGCAGGAAAGATCAATAAAAACCTGTAAAAAATGTAAAACTTGTTTTATTTTCAAAGCACAATAGAGACTGCAAATAAAGTTGTATTTGCATTAATGAGCTCAGACCAAAATTAGAATCATGATATACCTGGTTTAAACCCTGGACAATGAACCGTATGAACGAGCAAGAACCTAGTTCTCACATTTATATAGGTCGACTTTACCACTTTTATTCTTAGAGATACTGCACATTCAACGATAAATCTCCTGATTTAGTCGACATGGATGTACTTGCAGCTGGAAAATCCCAGTTGCGATTTTCGGATTTTGTCAGAATCTTCGATGCTAGTAGTCGTTTAATTTGTAGACATGCATAACATTTTAAAAGATGCTTCTACCTGGGGTAGAATTATTCATTCGTTGCTGACTGAACACAAGCTTTGTGAGTGGTCTTCTTGATACTAGCCTGAAGTAGATTTTTAACGTAAATCGTAAACGTAAACAAGTGAAAAGTAAGACAACATGCCGCACCGATAATGACCTTAAAATAATTTTAACAACAACAAAGATACGCACTATTTCCGTATCCATCATTACTTGGAAGTAACAATGTTGGGACTGAAGAGAGAAAAAGAGTTACATCCCTTTATATATATATAAATAGTAACCCAGCTCCATGTCTTTCGTCTTTAAAGGGAATGTAAACTGGTTGTAGTTCGATTTTCCATCAGATGTCTTTTTTCTATGTTAGTAAATTGAGAGAAGATTCAACAGATTGGTGGTTGTTTTCCTACGATGAATATTGACACAGACATTAAAAAATCTCAATTAAACATGTATAATGTGTTCGGATGGGTGTCTTTTAGGACATATTTTTGAACATATATTACACTTGATCTGAAGGCAAGCTGTCATATTCGTGTATTGAATCATAATAGACGTTTATTGTTTCAAACCTTATCACCAATGTTCTATGGCCCACTTTTTAACATGATTTTGGACAGGGTAACTGACGTTTCTGTCTGTATACTTTTATAATGTCGTTTTTTTAGGAATGATAAAATCAAAGAAACCCTAAAACCGCGAGTGGAAGCACAAAAAAAAGAATCATCAGTCATTATATGAATACTCGATTTCCAAAGTGCACTTAGAGAGTAAGTAGCATCATCAAATATATCAAATGATGCAAATTTAATGTAAGGTTTCATTACGTTTATAGAAAACAAAAGCGACGACGAAGACTAGCAAAAGACCTTGATCTCGATATGAGTGTATTTGGACTGTCAGATTGTCGTATACAAGAATAAAGAAAATCATGTACCACGATTGATAAAACATTTTTTAGAATTATTTCATCTGCACTTTCCCATAAATTAATCTTTGAATATGCATAAAAGGACTGTATGTTGCTTTGTCATTTACTTTTGATAGCATATTCCTCTGTAGCGTCATGAGAGGTTTAATAGCTTTAACTTTGATTGCTTGTGCTTCGGTAAGTATATTTTAATAGAAGCTAAACCCTTTTTTTTTGTAGATCATAAATGGAAAGCAAGAGGTAAGGATTAATGCGAAACTAGGTATCTGATGAATCAGGATACAGTGTCCACAAAGAGTTTGCGTACTTTACAAATAAGACTCGAATCCTAATTATAGAATTTCAGTTTATTTCTGAATCGGCTATCCTGTTAAATATTTATTTCCGAAATCTACACCTTCTACACCTCGAATATCTTTCATATGTTAATATGTATCACATGGTTGTTGGTTTGGAATCTCTTTTGCATTTCTAAGCACTAATGTATCAAGTGCACGGGAAGTGTTTGTTTGCATTTTGAACCGTTTTGGATTTCTGTAAGTAGCTCGCTGGCATTTAACATGAACATTAACCTTTATTTTCCCTACAGGCCCAGATATTCCGTTGGCCATATTGGAATAGAAATGAAAAGGACAACCATGGTGGATATACATTTGAATACCATGATCGCCATGTAAGTAATATTATTTTTAATTGAAAATAATTATTATCAGTTTACTACTTTGGGATGATCAAAAAATGAAATTTGTTGAAAAGAATAGTTGCTCCATTTTGGGAGCGGTGGGGAGGGGAGGGGGGGGGGGGGTTAAGGCTTGAATAGATGTAAATAGTCTTCAAAAGTACTAGAAATGTACGAAAATCACACAGTTCCCTGTTCTGCGACTAAGGTCGAATGGTAATAAAAAATGGCATCTGTCGCTTTTAAATGAGTCTTTGTTCATCATTAGACCTGGTGTCAAAACTATACAAAAGAAACCCTTTATAAATCCAATAAATCCATAAAATTTGATAATAATGTATAAATTTAAGTAATTTTTCAATAATTATTTAGTTGAGTAAGATATCGTCTTATATCGACATTCTATTATTTAGTCATGGCATCTGATATATACCCTTATTGCGACTTTCAGACTTTAACTTTCCGAATCGTCTTTAGTCGCTGGTTCTTAAACCTGGGATACTAAAATCTCCTAGGTTTACAAACATACTTCACTGAAGGTAGCATACAAACGTGTGTAAATGTCGCTGAATAAACAATTCTTTAGACTTCATTTACAATATAACCTTTTTTTTAATGAGTTAATAATAATTCTTTAAGAGTCAGTGGAGTCATCGCCATTAATTTTCCTGTTTCGCACATAATGTTTAGACATTCCTTTCTCTTTCAGCATCTGTTGATTGTAAGAGACAATTCATTTTGTTATTTAATCGATGCCAAACCAGATGTTGTTAAATCTTATAATGATGCCGCTACTAGAGCTAGTGTAGAGGTTAGTTTTAATGTACAATTATGTACGATCTATTATTTATGTTAGTTGACAACACGGTTATCAATTTTTGCCAACGACTTTAAAATCCCACTACAACTTTATTATCACCATAGTTTTGATAATATGATCAGGAAATGTTACCTTTTTGGTCATAATTGAGCTGCAGTGCGCAATTAAATTGTATAAGAAATCCCGTGCAACCATTTCAGTTTTTACAGTGAGACCATTTCAGTTTTTACCGTGCGACCATTTCCGTTTTTACGCATCCTTTACCAAATTAAAGCGTCCTTTTATGATAATAACTTTTACACGTTTAGATATGTTAATGATATTTTTATTATCGACTTTCGAAGGAACACAATGTATTTCCTTCGCGTTTTTTTTTCTTACATTGTAACCTCTTGCCCATCGACCTTCAATATATTTCAGGATATCAATTGTTTATACAGAAATAAACATGATAAGTGGAGCAATAAAAAAACTTCCTCATACCTTATATTTATGTGAATAACATATTGTTTCCGAGAACAAAAAGTGGTTATTTTCGTAACTGGGACTATTAACGTAGCTTAATGTCTGTATAGTCTGGTCTGTGGAAAATTCCGATTCAATCCATGCATCCTACTATGTTTGCCTAAAAGCTAATAACAGTCGTGTAACAGAGTTCTTATATCTTCTAGGATGATATAATCAGTCACATCAAGGCCAATCAAGATATGCACCAAATCAACCATTTCGATGCCCTGCTTAAATATCACGATCCTCTGCAAGCTGCTGAATGTGTCAAACATTCTATTGTTGAGTTGAGTTATTCTCTGGGTACAATTGCTACTTCCGTGCCACAAACTTCCATGCCTGAGACTACCACGGCTGGAGCCACTGTTTAAAGTACGTAAATTTTCTTTTTTCGACATCCTGACATCCGTAACTTTACATTGACACATTATGCTAAGGGTTCCTTGGCACTGTAAATGATCTGGTGACATCTCGTCTAGTTGAGAAAGACTTATGGAAATTTTCCAATTATAACTTTGACACATGTATTCTCTTACCATATAAATGATCTGAGTTATCTCATTCAGTTGAGTTAGACTTAATATGACTGAGTTCACCTATATACTTTGTTAATTGCAGAAATTTTGATTTTATGAGTGACAATTGATAATTCTGTACTAACTTAGGTTAGAGTCATGGAAGCTCAATTTGGTGACAACGATCATATTATCTGAATAAAGTGTGTCAAGTAATTCAAGCATCAGCGTTCATAAATATTATTATTATAAATTAGATTAGTCTACAGACACGGTAAAGATAAAATTGTAAATATGATATCACTCATGCATTTTATTTTATTGCAGGTATCACTAGAGCAGAAAATAAACTATTTCTTAAACTATATAATTGTTAATTATTTCATGGAATTGGCATATCCTTTTCAGTCAAGCTTTGTCTATGCTTACAGAATTGTGGAAACGTATTAAAATCGGATCTTGCTGAACTAAATGAAATGGGGTAGGCCAATGTGTTGCAATTGAACTAACAATAATATAACACTTTGCCGATTGAATATAACGGATCGAAACGGCACAGTGCTGTGGTCGTGCAAGGAATATAGTTTCGAAGCTGATGTGGGTAAAGTTATACTTGTTTTAGGCACATATCACGTCCTGCGATCGTGTAAACTTGTAACTTCTACACGTCATCAGTTGGAATTCTAACCATTTCATTCACAACAATGAACATCAATATTTAAATAATTTAGTTAAATGTGTATAATCACAAATATTGATGTCTTATTCAAATCTTATAATACAGAAGGCTAAAAATTAGCATCACTGTTAATTGAATTTCACACAATAATTGTCCTAAATAACTGTAACGGGTCTATTTCGTAAATAATCATCTAATCTAGGTAGGAGAGGGACCAGTTTATAATTGGCTGCTATATTAGGATAATTGTCTAAAACATGGGAGTCAAAGTTCGTCAGATGTTGACAAAGATCAAATACTGCTAAATCAGCCCACGTTAACTGTAATATAAAAAGCATTATTCTTCTAAAGACTTTAGAACCAGTAATTTATTAAAAAAATACACATAATTCTCAACAGCTGCTTGTTTAATTTTCAAATGATTTTTTGTAAAGAGTGCTCTAGTATGCAACACAGATCACCTGATAATGACAATGTAAATTGTTGAAACGTAGAGTACAATAAAACTCAGGAAGAGAATACCATAAAATTGTGGACCGTTATTTAAACTGATCTTTAGCCCCGAATGTTGCTTTCGGACAAGTTTAACAAGAAAGAGGTTGTTCAGTGGTTTTCTTATAATTATATCAAACCATGAATACTGGTGATCAGTCCAAATGTACTTTTGTGGTATCGATACGGAGCCGATAAGAATTTCTCAATACAGTTGTTGCTGTGAAAGGACAGACGGTATTGATATCACATGTGGGTCATTTTCACGAGTCCTTGATCCTAGATATATAAGAGTTAAGCTCAACCTAATTTTGAGAAAAAGAAATTGAAAGTGCATATTTTGAATAAAAACGGAACACTCTTTATTGACCCGTAGCATAAGAAAATGGTTGAATTAAGGTGAATAAGTAATTAAAGGTTCACTCACCGAATCTCCAACGAGGAAATCACTTTCTTTATTTTTGGCTGCAATATTTTCTATCACACCTAAAACCAGTGGTAATAGCTCTTTGGTAAATTTCTCGACAGCTGCTGCCTGGTAGATAAATATCAATATAAAGGACGATGATCTCTGTGTCGATAATTACCACTCATGGTATAGCTTGGGGGAAGTGAATCATAGACTATAATTGTAGTCAGTGTATGTTCTTGATCATCATGTAATATCAGTTCCCTTTAGTTTACCATTGTGTTCCGGGCATTATTCAGAACAGGTTTGGCTTTAGTTTAGCAAAATGCATCAATAATCTCACTCAGATCAGGTTTGGCTCTATACTTTGATTACTTCAAGTCTTTCACAGTGCAGTGTGTCATCAGACAACACATAAGAATCCTTCAATGAAATTATATTTATGCCAACTGAGACGATTCAAAACCCATTATAAACAGTACATTAAATTTATACAGTTATAACTGATATAAATAAAACTATTCAAGCCAGACTTAATTGTGTACACTACTACCCGAACTACCTCAAATATAGAAAGATGCTCTGAGGTGTGCTTAGACTTATCCTTCTATGTGCAATATGTCTTGCAGCACTTTATTACAATTACATAAATGATCCTAGGCCACTATATCACAACACTGCGACAAATCTGTTCTTCTGACTGATGTACGGATGAGATGAACGGGCAGGGCCAGCTTAGGCAACTGAAATGTTTATATGCATCCTTTCAGTGGTTCGTAGCATCGTACACAGCCTTTACCATTATTCCACCATCTTCCTTGAATCAAAGGGCAGTTTCTATTTTACTCTCAACAGATAGACACAATATATTTCAAAACTGACCTTCTTTTCTTCGTCTTTCTCGAAAACAAATCCAGAAAAGGATTCTCTGACCTGTATAATTTTCTCTACAATGGTATCCGTCAGTAATTGTTCGTAATTAGTTTTTCCTGTTAATCCTACAAGGAAAGATTGAGTGATCAATTATGTACCGTTTAGAAATAGGAATGACGGTATATGATTATGCTTTCCAGTATAATATGACGTTCTGCTACGCACATGCTTCTGAATTCACCAAAAAAGCTGCTGGCTTTACAGACCGGACGGAAGTCGAGTTGATAAACTCAGTCCAAGAATTACATCAGAATGTATCGTAAATCTGGTCATGTCTTGCTTCGGTGATGATGTTATTATATGCAATAAGCTAAGAAAGTATCAGAAATTCATTTCATTTCGCTTTGAAATCATTCTCAACATCCAGAAGGCATTTATTTTCATACGAACACAAGACTTTTTTTCTTTCTCGTGCATGTTAAGATGGGGCCTACCGAATTCCCTGGCTAAATATCTGGCAATCACCACACTCTCATCAAACAATTCTCCATTTAACTCCAATACAGGTAGTGTTCGACCAGGCATTTCTAGAATAAAATAGACTTCATGGATACACATATTAATTAAGGCTGATCATCGCCAATCTATCTACAGTAAAATGACTCGTAAGAACTCGTTTCTTAGACAACAAAATAATATTTTATAATATTTATATAATCAATCTATACGGTATAAATGCTTCTGAATTCTCCAGAAAGATGTATGCCATCTTGTTTGTTGAATATCAGTGTATAAACGCTATGGTGAGCTATCTGTAATAGCTCAATGTAATATTACTATATTTTATGGAAAATACCTTTCTTTCTTACAGAGGCATTCAGCAACATCTTCCACTCCATATTAAAAATTTGTCCTGAATTTCAAAGTTTTATTCATTTACTGTTTTTTGTGGTAATGGAACAATGTATTGAGTACTTACGTGGCTTTTTCTCGTCCCATTCCTTGCCATGTCGTTCACATCTCACATCTTCATATGGAACCCCTGCAGCTACAAATAGTAACCGTGGAAATTCCCCCCGAGCTCTTACATTCTTGAAAAAATGGTATCTATATTTGGTTGTCATTTCACGCTTTTAATAACACTTTCTATAATAGTACATTAATTCTCTCGCCTATAGATAGTTGCACTTTACACTTTGTTAATGAAATCCCACCGGCTTTTCATTACAACTTATATGCTTTGTCAATGTCGAAATTTTATCACATTGATATCGTCAGTCATTGAACAAACATAATAAATTCTCTTTATTCATTGTTAGTTATCGTCAGGGCTGGATAATCTTATTCACGTAAATATTCAACCATATAATACGATAAACGAAGACTTGAAAGTCATGACTATATTTGACTATATAGATTACCTTAAGTGAAAATATGACACAGCAATATTTTAATCCATATCTCACAAATATTTCATTCGTGATGTATTCAAAGGCTATAATTTACTGTCTCACCAGAATGTGTAAAGAATCATATTTTGCCAGTCGGTTTTATGTGAACTGAAATATCAACTACAAATACCATTAGTGTCTTACTCGTATATTGCCCTTTATTTAATTCCTATCATTGGAAATTTCTACAAAGGAGAATTATCAGTTCGAAATGTGGGTCAATTAATGGAAAATTACTGGGAAGTGTGTTAATTCTAGTGTAAAATCATTAAAACCTTTAATTCTTTCAGAGTCTGTCTGTGCATGCAATGTGAAAATGTTTTTGACTGTGTGTGAAATGAAAAAAATATGTCGGATCTCACTGTGGTCTGAGAGTAGTCTGTATTTTGTACAGATAAAACTGAATTGTGTCCCTTATTGTAACATGAAAAAGTCGTCAATTTGTAAAAACATTTCACTAGAAGTAAAACCACAATAGCTTGCATTATATTTTTAAGACAGCCTGTGTCCTACCTTTCATCAGGTTGCAAACCAGAATAATTTTCACAGCTTACTGGCTTTTTTTGAATCCCACTCTAGTGTACTATAAACGCACATCACATGCAGCGTGGTGCACACGGGGTTTGTTGTCCTATATGTCAGCTTCTTTTATCGGCTGCAGTGACAAGGGTAACTGATTTAACAAAATCTTTAAGAGATCTCCAATTTGTGTAATCGGTAACAATGACTTAGCAGTATAGCACTAACCATTACAGTGGTAAATAAAAATAGAGAGAAAGAAGTTAAGTCCGAATGAACGACGTCATTTGTGCCTTACATTGTGTTTTGCGTAACAGTAAGGGGGATGCAAGAGAAATCTTTCTTGCATTCATGAAAATTTAATTCCACGAAAAGTAACCACCGAATGAACTGGCTGCATCCTGCATCAACGTTTTGTGAGGTAATTGTGACTTTTAGAATATAACATATGTTGTTGATTCACTTAGATAGATAATATTGCCATGAATTAACATATTTTCACAATTAATGGAATAAATTAAAATAATACATGTACAATCATTTTTTTGTACGTTATTGACATTGTATAACAATGTAATATTACAGCGAAATAGCTCACTCTTTGGTTGATGATATGCAGCCTTTAAGCTTCTCAAAAAGACACCTACGAAAAAAATCCTTTTGAATCCTTTAACAGTTCAGAAGTGGACAATATGAGGAGACCTTTTGTCTGACGACCTCGCCACTGGCAAAATCTGAGAGTAACTACGAGCTCAAGTCTGGAAGAATATCATATTGCTGAGGTTAAATTATCTGATTACATCGGCGACTGAAAATTCGACAGGTTGTGTTTTCAACTTTTTATATCAAAGTTAATATTCGTTAGACTGAGAGGGTTTTTCTCGTGTCGAAGTCCACGTATCCGAGATGCCACCTTTTCGAAGCCCTTCAATGCTGCCAAAACGATAAAACTATTGAGCGACAAGCAAATGACTTGGATTTCATATATTTCCATAGATCTATTTTTAAGAAAAACACTTATAATGCAAATTTGAATATATTTTGCAAGGGCAAGTCGTTAGATAATGTGCGTTGAAGTTCTAATTCTCAGACAAATTCAAGGGAAAATATCTTGACTGACAGAATCAAAGAATATCTTCTAATGACATGTAAGTGACGGCGCAAAATTTGTTCTTAAGCTGCAAAAAAAAGTTACATACATAATATAAAAGCTTACACAATTTAAATGTCATAATCTCTGAGATGATATCTAAAAGGCCATTGTTTTTGGAAGATTCCTGAACTATACTGGGCATAATCAATTTTATCTTCATATCACGATAACTAGTTCACAGCAATGTCAAGACTAATTAAAGACATTGTACAAATTGTCTGGTATTTTGTTGTTTTATTGACATTACAATCGCCTACACGCAAAATATCAGTTTCACGCTGATTTGTCAACTTCAAGTCTAATGCGCAATAATAGTCTACAGCAAACTAGATTATTATGGACAGATCACATCGCATCTTCGTTCCTTGTTGGCTTTCATAAAATCTGCTATTTCGATACACTGGTTTAAATCAATGATATCCGATGATACGTCTGTGTCCACATCAACAACTAAACTGATTTTAAACAATCGAAACAAGTACGCCAGTTTCACGTTAGTTCAATGTAATATTAGCAGAACCATTCGCAGATAATGTTGTTTTCGGACATTTGAATCGTCTATCTAGAAGGTTTTTACTTGGACACTCTCGAGTCTGATATTCGCAACTGCATTTATCCAAAGAAATCATCAAGCATTCCGTTCCATATTATCGGTGGAATTTAGACTTACACATAATTTTTATCGACAGCAACTAACTAATTTTCGTAAATGATCCTTAAACGTCTGATTCATGAAAGCGTATATAAGTGGATTGGCCACGTTGTAACAGAAGTACATATAAAACACAACCTTTTGCTTAGGAACGATTTGGTGGGCCATTAACCATGCTGGGGTAAAGGCTAAAATGTACACAACGCTTACGATAAACAACATAACAGCCGTCTTTATATTAGCTGCACGTGCCTCTTCGCGCAATTTTTCAGCCTCGTCGTGCACACGAGAATGTTTCTTGGATTGAGAATGTTTAATAGTGCCCTCCTCAACATTGGTATCGCTATGCTCTTTTACTGGTAAATTCGGATTGACTTCTAAAAGTTTAGTTTTTGTAGGATCTTCGCCCTTCTTATCATTAGTATACGTGCACATGACAAGTTTTTGTTGTAATTTCTTTGTACGTCTGCTCTTAATAAAATGATAAATTAAGGAATACAAGACACCGACCACGACTAAACACACGACAAATAACAAGGAATAAATCATTTGATAAGTCATCACGTAATTCTTGTTTAAATAAAAACCGTAAATATACGGTGCACATATCCCTGTATGAATAACAATCGGACCACTATCAAGAGATTCTCTCGGTAATTCCAGAGATAAGTCGAAGTCCGTGAAATTAAAGCTCAACATTTCAATTAATTTTTCTTGATTCTCGACCCCTCGTGCTTCCTCCATTAGTTTCAGTAACGATTCGGTATCTGTTTCGTTAAAGTCGGGTTGTTCCTTAGAGGGGGTATATTTGTAATAGACACCATATCCTATACTGGTGGCTATACCCAGAGCACACGCAAATATCACTAAACACGCTATTACAACTTTAGTTCTGAATGGATTGACTATTCTCTTCAGTGAATGACAAATACAAAGATATCTGTCAATGGCTATAGCTACCATCATGAACGCAGACAGAGGCACTTTCGACGTAATTAGGAAATGATATAGTTTACATACGATATCATAATTGACTTTATAGTGGAGATATTCCACCACGATAGTAAATGGGATTATGATGGAACATGTAAACAAGTCAATTACTGACAAAGTCAATATAAAAATCTGAGCCGACGTTTTATCACGTATTCTATAAAACACAAACGTAGATAAACCATTTCCGATTATTCCAAGTAAAGCAAAGACAGAAAGTATAACAATTAGTATAATCATAGATGTCTGATTACTCCCAGCGTCCGGTTCCATTACACCCATGATTTCTTCTTCCAACTGTGTAACTTCAGTTAATTCCTGAAATAGATGAGAATTTTTGAATATAAGATACAACAATATTGTTACATATAAATTCCTTACAGAAGAAAGTGAGTGAGTTCGATGCACCGGTTAGCTAATGATGCTACGGTGCTGAGGTCAATAGAATTATAAATAATTCATGAATATAACCTGTACTGAAATGATTTCTGGCAATTAGGTTGTCATTAGGACTCCTGAAAATCTTATTATCTTAAATCACTTCTTTAGGAATAAACGATTGTCTGGAATGTGGCATTCAGTACAAAAACGAATATTTGTATTGTATTTATGTTTAACAAATGAGAATAGAAATAAGTGAATAGAAATGCGGCGTGCTGTATCCCCAGAAGTACTGAAACCAGCTAATGACATGAAGGTATTTATTTAGGTAGTTACCAACAGGTACATTGCTCAAACAACACGCAATTTAAATGAATATATACCTTTAAACCATTTCCACACGTTTTTATAATCCACAAGAAATCCATATATATTATTAATTATTCAATATAATGATTATGTTTTTTCTGTATCTTCCGTTGTCTAGAATATGTTAGAAAGGAAATGTTCTATTCAGATTAAGAGTTATCCTGGGAACACGAGACAGAAACATAATTAATACATCATCGATTATGTATAAATATATAATATGATATTATTCATCTCATACACAGAAAGATTATCTACCCTTTTTCTAATTTTTCAAACTCGTGACAGGGGATTTATCGTTGATCTTCTTGAATATTTTAGTCTTAAGATGGAACGAATGAAGTTTTTCGTCTTACTTTTCAGCACCTGGTAAATGGCGTTATTCGAAAACGATTTATAAATAGTTTGAAGCGATTTTGAAAATAATCTCCTGTCATAAGTCAGCCACCATTAAAGAATTGGATATGGACTGGAATTGTGCGTCTTTTTCTACTTCTACTTGGGGAAATAGCCCAAACGGGTTTTGTGCAGTTTCGTCTTGCCTCTTTCTGTCTTGTGTATGTTTGATATTGAACGAGTCGATTGGGGTTTTTACTAATCGAGAAAAGAGTTTTTCAGTAACAGTTCAAGAAAAATCAAGACAACTGATCGCATCGCAGTTTTCTTCCGTTTTTATGCGACACAAGGTTGAGTTTCATGGTATCATTGAGATTTCCTTAAGGCGGCCGCGGAGACTGTCGAAGGAAGCCATTAAAATTCAATTTGGATAATAGTAAATCAATCTATTGTCTCTTAATGAAATCATCGTCTCAATTTAATTCGTCTGAACAAATTCTATTGTGATATTTCGAACACGGATACATAGTAACCAAAGTCACTGGGTCGTGTCATGTCATGCTTAATATTGTATCTGAAACACTGGGCCTAGATAATAACAAGGTGCTGAGATCTAACTTATATTAAGATTCTGTGATGCAACATATTTTAATATTCCAATAGAGCAATGCCTAAGAACTTCCATGGTATTTTGAAAAAATTGAATGAAGTGTAAAAGAGATTCGTTTTACGTACTCCTATTCTGTTCTTGAATAAGATTATGCAATGTGAATTGCAATTTTCTAGATAAATCCTTCTCTCTGTCGATTTTCTATTACGAGCATTGATTCCCTTCGTGATAAAATTTTAATGGAATTCATTTGCTAATTTTGCTGCGGATACCTAAAGAGATATTCTACTAAACCTCAGTGCGACTGGTTAAAAATAACAAACATCTATGGTAAAACATTGACAGCTTTATTATTAAATTCTGTTTAGAAACTATTAGAGTAACCAAGAGCTTTCATTGTTTTTACAACGACAATAGAGTTTTGTTAAAGTTATAATCGGAGTAAATGGGCTTTATTTCATATACATTAACTTAATCAAGCTTTAAACTTCTGTAATCATTACCTGTTTTACAGTGTGTCCTACTCATCAACATTACATTACCGTCATCTACTGGGCCTTTAATGTTCCATGATGTTTATAATGTGTTTAGAAATAGTCAATATTTTTCTCTCAATTCCTTTTCATCGCTTTGCAGAGTAATCTGCGTTGATGAAAAACATAACTCAGTTTTTGTCCTATTTAAGCTCAAACTCAACCAACGGTATCTCTTGTTAAAACTATGACAATATGATGTTATATTTCATTATTATCTACTTACGGTGCCTGGCGATCTGAATAATGGCTTTGTCTTAAAACAAGGAATTTGGAAAGGAAGTGGTGGTATTAATAGGAGAAGGTCGGGGAGGCGGAACCATACCCTCACCAAAGGTCAAAGGATATTTGCATGATTTTATTCTTTATTTTCAACATCTTATTAGGCTAATGAAGGCAGTAATAGCCATGCGTTGTGGAACAATTTAACAGAAACTCTTTTTCGATCAGTAATAGTGGTCACACTTCTCCGTGGAAATTTGAACCTTCCAATCGATGTGTGTAAAGAATTATCCGTGTTTGAAAATTAAAATGACGAGTCGTCTTATTTTGAGGCACTGCCTTATATGGAAAAAGATATCTATAGAAATAGGAACAATAATTTTCGTACATTACATTTCTAGTACTACAGAGGACTTTTCATACAAGACTCAACTTACCCTCCCAATAAAATGGCGCAACTGAAATCGATGCTTAAATGATATAATCCTTAACTAAGAAGCATACAAAACGAAATTATCAAAAACATTTATGCTTGAACACTAGAAGTACATTAAAACGGAAGTTAATTAAATCGATGGATAAGCGTGTGTTATCTATTTATTATCTATTCAAAGAATTAATGACTCGAGTTCTTCGAATAAAACATTTATCTATAGACACCACATTGAATACCTTCATCAATAACTTGATAGATAAGAGTAGATTTTTGAAGGCTGAGATTGTCCACTTTCACTGGGCTTTGTCGAGTATATCCTCCATATTGTACCATCCGAAACGCAAAACTAACTCGAAATCCAAATTGATACTCTTACCTCTACACCCTACATAATTATAACTTTTTTTTGTAAGTTGTGAACCAAGATAATTCGTTCCTTAGGGAACTTAAGGGAATGGATGTACAGTATTCTTTTACATAGCTTGACACAGTGTGCTTTTCCAATCCAAGTCGGCGCCTTTGATCTCACTTGATCGAAATTGGTTGTGTTAATGTATACTTGATTTAATTATTTTCAATTGAACATTTCACTCTGATAAATTTTTAAATAGTAATAACACATCGAAAAACAATAAGAAAAACTTCGTAAGAAAATGATTGGAAAGATGGGAACCATAGAATTCATCACAATGAAGTAGATAGAATAGTGGGGAGTTTTGCGCGCGAAACAGACCACTTGGCACTTTGCTTTAGAGGAGTACACTATTATACAACTTTCTCTCGCGATTTTGTCATACTTTGGAGATTTTGATTGATATTGCTTGGATATTTCTTCGACAAAATCCCTTTAACGATAACCTTTACCGGCTTCTTAACGTAGCAGTCCCGCGTGATTGGTAATTCTACTAATAATAATTTGTAAATGTGATGTTCGTCTGTAGAGAATTGACGGTACTTTTTGTTCTGTATAACAGAATTGTAAAAAAGCTAATTTATAATTCATGCAATTGTTTGAGCTCAATAGCCAATAACAAACACATTAATACAAAAGTTTTGTCAAAGTTATAGGCAAGCGAATTTATCGGTCTGAAGGAAGGATTATTTATACCACCAGTCATTGTGTTTCAAACCAACGATTAATTTCCAAAAACCCAGTCTCATACACAGACCCTACAACAGTAATTAATTTTGTTAAGTCGAATTTTATTTTTGGGTAACCTTAAAAATTACATCTGTCTTTATGTAATGTCTAAAGGCACAACTATAGGTATATCATACATTGCCCAATTAAACTTTAATATAGATACGAATATGGAACTAAAAGAACATGTTGGTGTTATAACTAATCACTTTCTGGTATACACGTATATCCAGATTTCATGAATGCATAGTAAGGTTCTCAAATGGTGAGTTGGTAACTGGTACTGGTATAGACGGAAGCCAGGATTCATCTGATAGTTTCTCATGTTCCGTATATTTTTAATAAAATTTTATTTCCTATTGAAACTGAAAAAACGTCTTCCTGGACATATGACATTATACCAGATAAAAATTTAATAAAAATAAGAATAACTCATTCATTAAAAGACACTGCTGGATATAGAGATTAGGGTATTGAATCGAAGACATTTTTTATAAGACATTGATTTCATTCTACTAAATATTCCCAAGATAATCATAAAAACTCCTCGAACTGTGAGTTTTTAGATTTAGATTTATCAACTCGCTTGTCTCAACATCACCAGAAATATTCAATAACATTAATGTCTTAGTATGGACTTTTTAAATGTTTACGATTCCTAGAGAATACTGGATTAATGCCATTAAGAGATACTAAAATCTGCTGTTCTACTTGAGAAAATAACAAATTGTTCTTCCATGGAGATAATTAAAACATTGTAAAAATTTCGATAGGAGTTCGTCAAGTATTGCGGAAGTATTAACTGTCAGCTACAACAAACAAACAAATATATTGTTTTATGTTTCTGTCGATAGAAATGAGAAGTGAAAACTTGTTTCCAACCGAATTCTTCAGAACAAGTCTAGTTCATCAGTAATCTGGCGGTTTTGTTTTATTCACTGTTGATGAGTTTATAATGATTTCAGATTTCTGTGTAGCAACTCTTATTAATCAAGAAAATCTGAAAAGAAGTCGACAGAAAATCGTCCACAAAGTATCCGAGTCAATAAAATTACGTTCCAGTTAATATATTTTCTTGGATAGAGATGGGTTCTGTTAAGTCAATCGATTCGTCAGCATGTTCATTTAAAACCTATCCTTGATTTAAAACGAAGAAAATATCTGTAATTTTATACACAATGACCTCAGTTGTAGACAATAAATTACACCTTAAAGGCGACAAATGTTAAAAGCAGGAAATGTGGTGGATTTCAAGATCTGATACATCTTAGTACCGGAACTGTCAAATTTTGATACATTGAGGGAATCAACAATACTGTCATTACTATATTGTCAATAATTGATAATATGCTTTTATACAATTGGTATATGTTAACGTGTCTGTTACTGTATTTAATGGAAAAATTATAGCTTATTTAGTTTCTTCACTATAACAAGTTATTACAAGCTTCGTCCTATACCTTGACTGCAATAGCCACAAAAGAAGTGATTTTATTCGATTGTACGCCAGCGAATACAGCACTCGACAGAAAGCTCTACACTGTATGTCTTATTATTTATTTACTGTAGTTAATGAACAAATTAGATTCGCTTTAGTTTCTGATATGTCATCTGCACAACATTAAGCTATGAGCTTCGTCTAATTCCTTGACTGTAATAGCCACTATTTTTGTAACACAAAAAGCAGCAATTGTATTAGATTAGTGAAAATGCAGCCAATAAGAGCCGTGGACTATGGTCTTTGTTGATAATAGTTGCATTAGTTATAACACAATATAATG